AGATGCTAAAGTAACTGAACATCTTTGTAGGGGCACAGGAAATACCAAAGAAACCCACCACTTAAAAAATGGGAACTACACAAAAACGAGAAGTCTTGTTAAAAACAAATTATAAGGAATAGTCACAAGAGTGAAATGCTTGCAAACTGATGGAAACTTTTCAAAACCACAACAGAGCTGCAAACACACCAAATACAAAAAATATTATAATACCACTATATAAATGCATGGTAGGCTCAAAAACTGCAGTGCTGATTCCTCCCACGACCCTTCCCCAAACTCAAAAAAGAATTCTGGACAGAGATGACTTGTGAAAGGGGACAGGGGAGGCCTCTGGTCATGTGATCACCCCTCTCCCAGCCAGGGACAAACCCCTCTGTCACAGGCCTTTCTTCCCCCTGATCTTGCTCTCCCCCTCCCCGCCTCTTCCTCCTCTTCCTGGTGATGCATCCTGAGGATATGTCTACGCTACAGGGTAAGGCTGAATTAAGATATGCAACTTCAGCTTCATTAATTGCGTAGCTAAAGTTGAAGTACCTTAACTCGACTTTTGGCGCTGTCCACACTGCAGGAAGTCGAAGGGAGATCGCTCTCCTTTCAACTTCCCTTATTCCTTGTGGAAGCAAGACTACCAGCCTTGACCAGAGAGCCCCCTCAGTTCGAATTAGCTGTTTTCACTAGTCCTGCTAATTTGAAGCCTGGAAGATCGACAGCAGCAGCTTCAATCTTCTCTGTACTGTAGACATGCCCTGAGGAACTAGTGGAGCCAGGGCTGGTGCTAGCAGCAGAGGTCCACCCCCTGTCCTGCTCTCCCAGCTGCATCGCTCCACTTCCTGTGGGAAAGTGAGGGGCAATCCCACCCCTCCCCATAGTAACGCAACTGGAGGAACACAAGTAGCCGGAGCTATTGCTCCACTTGCCCCACCACTACCAGTGAGTGTGGAGGAGTCGGACTCCTGCTGTGAGCACCCCCACCTATGGCACCCCCACACTAATTCCTCCACCGGCTGCTGCTGGCCCTTTCCACCCATGGCACTGGGGCACCCTGACCTCTCGTACGCCCCTCCCTATTGTGTCGCCTAAGTTGGAATTGGAAAAAGTGCAAAGAAGGGCAACAAAAATGATTTGGGATATGGAATAGCTTCCATATGAGGAATGATTTACAAGACAGCTTAGAAAAGAGATCAAGGGATGCTGTGAAAGCCAAAATTACAACTGGGTTCAAAAAAAGAATGAGCTAAGCTTATGGAAAATAGATCCAGTGGTGATGATTAGCCAAGGTGGCCAGGGATGAGACTGCATGATCTGGGTGTCTCTAAACCTCTGGTTGCCAGAAGCTGGGACTGGACAACAATGAATGGATCTCACTTAATGAATTACCCTGTTCTGCTCATACCCTCTGGAGCATCTGCCATCAGAAGACAAGATACTGGGCTAGATGGACCATGGTCTGACGCGTTATGGCCCTTCTTATGGCAACTATCCTCTTGCCTCCAGGATAGGTTTGAGCAGGGATGTAACTTGAATTTTACTTTGGAGGGAACTCCGGTTAAATGTTCCTATGGATTCACAGAAGCCACTTCAGTCCCTCCAGGACCCACTCATGCTTCTGTCACACACACACACACACACACACACACACACACACACACACACACACACACACACTATCACCTCCATCTGCCTACAGGGAAGGATGCAAAGGAACACAAATATAGCTAATCCTCCCACAATATTATGAGGCAATAGCCTTCACCAACAACCCCCAATTGCACTGCTCCTGGAAGCTGTGGTCCCACAGCAGGTCTGAACCTGGGTCAGAGCAAGGAAGTGGTCAGGCCACTGGGATGAAAGGCAAGGGATCTTCTCCAGGCCCCAAACCCAGCTATAGCCACTGTGGGACTGGCCAGTCCCCAGCCAGGGCCTAAGCCACCCAGCTTCAGGAATTACAGCTCTGGGGCTTCCTCTCCCCTGAGAGAGGCTGAGAGGGGCCTCCCAGAGGGCTCTCAAGAGTTCTTGGGGTAAGGAAGCCTGGGGACATGATTCCTTTGGAGCTATGTGACGGTGAATGATGGGCCTCGCAGCCACTGGACTCAGAGCCTTGGACTAGACCCCCAGCTCTGTGCCCCCAGTGGTCAGACCCACTCCCTCTGCAGTGCTGGGCTTGGATATACCAAGAGCCTGCTGCTCCCAGCTGATACCTCTGCCAACTAAGGCTAAAGTGTGTGTGGGGGGCCTGTGATTGAACCACAACTTCAAGGCACTGCAGTGTTGCCAATTCTCACAATTTAGCATGAGTGGCATGATACTTTTTTAAGTCCCAGCTCCTGCCTTTAAGAGATTCTCAGCTTTCAATAAAGAAATAGTAAAGTTTCTAGCCCACATGATTGCTGAGAAAAGCTTGAGAGCATGACCCAAGCACACTCTAAAAATAAAAAGCACCCCAAATGTCTGGATTTAAAAACATATTTCAATTCAATCGTGATCTGTAAACCAGTCTGATTATTTTTGAGAACGTGACCCATCCTCACTCTTCAATGCTTGGGTTTGACAATATGGGATTAGTGGAAAGTGGCATGTGCTGAAGTGCTTTACTAATAAGAGTCTAATGGAGGACATGCACTCCTTTCATTACATATTTCAAACTTACAAACATTAGAAAGACATTAGAGAGGAAATAAACTCAGCATTAAGTATTACTTTCTATGTGCCAAAGAAATAAATTGCCAATTCTTTATTCCAGTTTATTCAGTCAACTATTTGCATGCCATACGTACCATTTTCCCTTAGTCTTTTGAATACCAGAAAACAATTTAAGAATGCATTGCACTCTTCCTTTGAAGTACAGGCAGTCCCCGAGTTACGCGCATCCGACTTATGTCGGATCTGCACTTAAGAACGGGGCTCTCTCGCCCCGGAGCTCGCAGACAGCGGGACCGCCCAGAGCGCAGCGGGACCGCCCAGAGCGCAGCGGGACCGCCACCTCGACCTCCAGGGCGAGAAAAGCTGCTCCGGGTGCCCCTGGTCTGCTGGGGACCGTCTCCAGCAGACCAGGGACACCCGGAG